CAAAGACGGGAGGGAGGGGGCCTGCAGAAGACAGGTCTCTCCTGCAGCTCGGGGAGGCCTCCCCTTGGCAAGTCAGGCCTGTGTGACTCAGAGGGTAGGGCAACCCGGGAAGCTCTCACCGACCTGGGCACCCCCAGACCTGTCCAGCCAGTTTGCCCGTATTTACCACATGGGCATTTAATTTCTAATTTCTCATAAGCATCAGCCTGGGGATGACCGGATCAGATGGGGTGGGGAGGTCACCCCAGAGGAAAGCAGTCTTTCCATCGGCCGCCGCTCAGGTTAGCTCTTGGAAGCATAAGCTCCATCTCTCCTAGGATGCAGGGAGGGATTGTTCTCCCAGAGGCCTGCTCTGTCTGTTGTGAGACCCGGTCTCTCTGTGGATCCCTGGCTGTCCTGGAACTCAGATCCCCCACTTCTGCCTCAAATGCTGGGATTAAAGGCCTGGGCCACCAAGCCTGGCCCCTGCTGCTCTTGTCCAAGGCAGACCTTCCCTTCCTTGGTTTCAGCATTTTTTTTATTACTGTTGTCATCATTATTATCACATGCATTTACCTTGTGTGCAAGCGCCATGCACACAAATGACTCAGAGGTCAGAGGATGACCCTGAAAAGTCGTCTGCCTCCTTCTGCCATGTGGGTCCCAGGGATCCACCTCAGGCCAGCCGTCAGGCTTGGCGGCAAGAGCCTGATGCACTGAGTTCTCTCACAGGCCCAGGTCTGTGTTTCTTCTTACTCCCATCCCACGCCAGGGAGAGAAGCCAGCGTGCTGTACACACAGGCACATGTTCTGTCACTGAAGCACAGCCCAGGTCTTACTTATCTTTGTTTTGAAACAAGGCCCTGCTACCTGTAGCCCAGACTGATCTCCGACTCTCAGCCCTCCCCCACCAGCTCCTGAGCGGCTGGGACCTCAGTTACGCACCACCAGGCCTGCAGTAAGTTCTCATCTTGGTGATGGCTGAGGCCCACCCACTTCTGCTGTCTGGTGGCTCTAAACCAGCTCCTCACAGCCCCCAGGAAGGAGGTGGGTGTCCTGCTGGCTAGAAAGCAGACCTCCTTCAGGAAGGTTGATCTCCAGGAAGCAACCTGAGCCTGTGTGAGTTTACCATGCCCTTCCTATCACTTAGCACAGAAAGTCACAGTTGGGGACACCTACAGAACCATTCACAGTAACCCCACCAAAGGGCAAGGAATCAGAGGCCTGGAGAGAATAAGGGCCTTGCCCTCTGTCACTCCACAAGTGACCTGGCAAGAGGGACAGGTACCTGATGACCAATCCCAGGGTCCAGCCTGGTCACCAAGGAACCCAAGGGTCCATTTCACGTTTGGCCTTTAGTTATGGGCACTTGAGAAAGAATTTCTTAGAGTCAAGCCATCTGAGGGCAACCTCTTTTTGAACATGTCCCCTGGCTGGCTCTCGAAAGGGACTGAAGATGATCGGACATTCGGAAGATGGCCCAGACAGAGCTCAAAGACCCTTGCTGGACCTGTCACCTGTTTTCTTGCCTCTTGGCCTGGGTGGTGCCTTCTGCAGGTGGGAAGGGCTGGGGTCCTCAGAGGTTTTATGAAACTTCTGTCAGGCAGAAGGGGCCAGGCTCAGACACTGGCTCGGGGCCCCTCCCACACCAACACGGGGCTGGGGACCGGAGTCTGTACATGTGTGTGAGCCCGCAGACACCTGGGGCTCTGGAAGAAAGCCCAGAGCTATGGAAGGGGTCTGAGATCAGATAGGAGAAAATGAGCTGCTTAACAGCTCTTCTCCCAGAGCAGGTGGCCAGCGATGATGCTAGAAACGACTCCAGACTCGTAACCTGAAACAGGGTCAGAGCTGCAATTAGGCCAAGGGGTCTGAACTTAAAGCACACCAGAGACAGGTTTCAGTGGGGACCGAGAAGTCTGAGCTAAGACTCACCCATCTTAGACCCTGTGAAGCCATTTCATCAAGACCTCAAGGGTCCAGGAGCCAAGAGGCCACAGGGCAGGGGTCGAGGGGGCCAAACCAGGGCGATGTGTGGGGTCCTGGAGGGGAGACAAGAGTCACCAGCATGGAGGAGGGAAGTTTAGGGTAGTCTGAGGGGTGTTGACTGTAGGGTTGGGTCTTGGCTTTGAGGCCATGCAAGCCATATCCTGTCTCAGGGCTACAGTCTTTGGGGTGTAAAATGGGGGTTTGCGTCGAGTGCTCTGGAAGGGGGTGCCTCTGTTCACATGTATGACCTCTGGAATGGCAACCAGAATGGGTGGGACAGACAGGCAGTTCCACTCCCCATTCCTCACTGAAGGAATGGTAAGTGTCCCCGTGTGCTTCAGTCCCTGCTCTGTAAAGGATGTCCCCATGGACCTAATTCAGCTGTTGGCTTGACTTGTGTCTTCTCTCCTGTTCTCCATAGTGCGGCTTTCCTGCTTTGTCCAGAAAGAATGCTCCCAGGGCAAGTTCCCAGGAGGACCTACAGGCCTGAGCAATCCTGCAAGCCCAACTCGTCCTGACCTCTCTAGGGTCTACCCAAACTAGGGGTGCGGTGGGGGAGGAAATACAGCACGAAGGTCCAGAGTGAGTGGGAGATCAGGAGACTGGAGGGGTCTCACTGACCTGTAGTCATGGTCTTGACATGACCGGGAGGCCAGGACAACAGAAGCCAGGAATGACTGAAGGACCAGGGGCAGGTTGTCAGCGGTCTCCACACCTCCATCCCCACCGGTGCTATGGGTCAGTGAGGGCACATAATGGAACTCACTTCTAGAAATAGGATGCCAACGTCATCATCTGCGGCTGCAGCAGCCCTCACACACAGCTGTACAAGTCTCAGGGAGGGATGTGGCCAGGATTTGGGTTGTTTTGTTTTTTCAATACATGGTTTCTCTATGTAGCTTTGGATCCTGTCCTGGAGCTCACTCTGTAGACCAGGCTGGCCCCAAACTCATAGAGATCCGCCTGCCTCTGCCTCCCCAGTGCTGGGATTAACGGTGTGCACCACCACAGCTGGGCTTTTAGCATTAATCTTGATGGGTTGGTTTGTTTGTTTTGAGGCAGAATCTCACTCTGTAGTCCTGGCTGGTCTGACTACTAGAGATCCACCTTCCTTGGCCTCCCAAGTGCTGGGACTAAAGGCATGTGCAACCACCAACCGCCTTCTTTTTGGTTTTTTGAAACAGGGTTTCTTTGTATAGCCTTGGCTGTCCGGGAACTAGCTCTGTTTTTGTTGTTGTCTTGTTGTGGTTTTTTTTCTTTTGTTTGCAGTGACAATTCTGTGTCTGTCTGTGGGCTGCTTTTGTTGTTGTTTTATTTGGGGGCACAAGGTCTCATGTAGCCCAGGCTAGCCTCAGACTCCTTATACAGATAAAGATGACCTTTAACTTCTCAACTTTCTTCCTCTGCTTCCCAAGTGCAGTGGTCACAGGTGGCTCAGACAGCCCTGGGCTTTTGTTTGTTTGGTTGGTTCTCTGCAATGCTGGGGACTGAACCCGGTGCCTCATATGCTAGCATTTGCCAACACAGCCCAGCCTCAGAGATCACTTTTAAACAGAAAATAAGTGATTTGAAAAGCAGGATTATTTATTGTTGGTTGTGATTTGAGACACATGTAGCCCAGGTTTGCCTTTATTTGCTATGTAGCCAAGGATGACCTGGTTCCATGCCCCAAATGTTGGAGTTGAGGGGTTTTCATAACACTGGGAAATGAACCCATGGCCATTTATTTCTTTTTAGTTTTCGTTTTTCTTGGCCCTTTGAGACGAGGTCCCCTGGAGCCCAGGCTGTCCCTGAACTCATGATCCTGCCGCCACCGGAAAGTGCTGGGATTACAGTCATGAGCCGCCACATGGGGCATTTTACTTTTAATAGAGATGCTAGAAAATGTAAAACCCCACGTGAAACCTGCAGTTTGCTTGATTGAACAGCCACAGAGAACCCAGCAACTGTCCCGGCACCAAACTCTTTATCCACGGTTCTTTTTTACGCTCACTTAGTCGTTTTGCGTGGGGAGGCGGCACACATCGCGCCCCGAGTGTGGAGGCCAGACGGCAGCTTGCAGGAATCGGTTCTCTCCTTTCGCTATGCGGGTTCTGGGGAATCGAGCTTAAGTTTAAGCCGGCAGGTTTGGCGGCAAGCACCTCTGCCTACTGAGCCATCTTGCCAGCATTCCTGAGTGTTCTCTGGGTTCTTCTACTCATCAAAGAGCAAATCCCAACTGTGGCCTTTAAGCTACTTGTTTTGGGCCTGCAGAGATGGCTCACGGCTCTCCCGAGGACCAGGTTGATTCCCAGCATCCACATGGCCACCCACCAGTGCCTGTAACTCCACCTCCAGGAGCTCTGACACCCTCCTCTGGCCTCTGGTGTGCAGACGGTACATAAAGGAGAAACTCCCATACAAATAAAAATACATTCATATATATGTACACATACATGCATATATACACATGCAATATGCACGTGTTTGCTTTGCTGGGCAAATTGTAATTCCAGCATCTGGGAGACAGAGTCAGGTAAGTCATTAAAGATCTAAATAGCAAGTTTCTGGATAGCTAGGCCTAGCAAGACCCTGTCTTGGAACAAAAGATGAAAGTTCTCGGTTTCCTGTAGCTTTATACACACAAACAAATGTCTCAAAGGCCCTTCTCTCAAGCGTCCCTACTGTGTGTCCGATGAGGGGGTGCAGGTGCCACCTCTTCCAGGAAGACCTTCTTGACTACCCTTTGTAAGCACACTGGCTGCCTCTGGCTGGCTGACATTCTAACAGGTGGCATCTTCTACAGTGGGCGCGACAGCAGCAGTACCAACTACGTCCCCTCTGCATCCAGGGGCCGGCAGAGTTGTTGCCCACCCGGTATCTCTCCCCAGTCCCAGGCTTCCTAAGTCTCAACCCTGTCTCCTCACAGCAGCCTCGCTGGGTTGGCATCAGGAAGGTAGCCGGCGGACAGGGTGAGGCCGGCATCTGTGGCAGGCGAGGTGCCCACCCGGAGTGGACTCGGGAGCTCAGGCCCGGGCACTGAGCGCACTCACCAAGGGAAGGAAGGTCAGCAGGGGCCGGACCCGCGGCCGGGCTTTCAGCGTGGCTGTTCCAGATTCGCTCACAGTGTCGAACCGACTGTCTCCATAATAGATCCCATCTAAAGGACAGAGAGGGGGACAGTGAGCTGGGGAATCCCAGAAGGTGACCGGCCACCTGCAGAGCCCAGTGGGGGTGCAGGGAGGAGACCAGGTCTTGGGGTTGCCGGCTTTGACTCAGCCACACCCCAGTGGGAGCCCATGGACGGGGGTGCTGGTGGGATTCTAAGGTCGCTGTGGAAGGCACTTGGTGTTCCTGGGGCATCTGACCCACAGCAGCCACCGCTCTCCCGACGACACCCTTCTAAGCCTCCACATCCACAGAGCATCTGCCCAAGAGCTACGAGGCCTGAGCTCATCTCTCACAGAAGAAAACAACCCCGCTTCTCTCAAGTGTCTGCATTTCTAATCCATAACAAGCAGACCAGAGGACCCTATCTGCTGTCCCCTGGACCAACACCCCCTCCCTCCTACCTCTCTAGGTCAAGTGCCCCAGACCACAGCCAGCGTGTGTCTGTCTTGTTTCAAGGGCTAAAAAACAAGACATAAACAAACAACAACAACAACAACAAAAAAAACAGCTATGCCGTTGGCTGTTGTTTAACCTCCCTGGGTCTCAGTTTTCCCATCTGTACAATGGAAATGATGGTGCTAGCCTTATATAACAGCTCTGAGGCATAGATGTAGCCAGTATTTAGAGGGAGTGCACAAATGTGGTTCCCTCCCCCAAGGGACAATGACACACAATGGACCCTCCTGCTCCTCTGGAGCCTGCTCTGGGCTGTATCTACAGCCATGATCTGTGAAAAGCAATGTTCCTGTTCTCAAGCATCTTCCTCATGACCTTTGACATCGATGATAAGAATTCAGCTTTTCCTCCCAGGTTGAGAGTCACATCTCCAGGCCTCCTGCTTTATGGGCCATAAGCTAGAAGGCCATTGCCCTACTTAACAGACTGCAGGAAATGAGGGGCCTTCTCCTCCCCATCCCAAAGAGGAAACAGGTCAGAATCCCAAATGAATAAAGCCTGTTGTAATGGCGCACACCTTTAATCCCAGCACTCAGGAGGCAGAAGCAGGCAGAGTTCCAGGACAGCCAAGTCTACAAAGTGATACCCTGTCCAAAAGAAATAAATCCCAATTAACCAGAATCCCATTGCCTATTACATGCAAAATCAGGGTTTGCTTTTCTCCTCACATTTTAGGAGGAAACAGGAAGAAAACCCAACAATTTATTCAAAACAGACGGAGCTGGGCTGGTGATGTGGCTCACCGGGCAAAGGGCGTTGCTTCCTAAGCCTGCTGACCTCAGTTCAATCCCCGGGGGCCCACATGGTGGAGGGGAAGGGCCGACTCTTGCAAAGTCTCCTCTAATCTCCATGCGCGCGCGCGCACGCACGCACGCTCTAATCTCCATGCACACACACACACACACACACACACACACACACGCACGCACGCACGCACGCACGCACGCCAAGTATTTTTAAAAATAGTTTATGTACATTAGTGTTTTTCCTGCATGTATGTCTGTGAGGGTGTTGGGTCCCCTGGAACTGGAGGTGCAGACAGTTGTGAGCTGCCATGTTGGTGCCGAGAATTGAACCCAGGTCTTCTGGAAGGGCAGCCAGTGCTCTTAACCACTGAGTCATCTTGCCAGGCCCAACACATAAATATTCTTTAGATGTAACTTTAAGAGAGGGGGGGCTGGAGAGATGGCTCCGAGGTTAAGAGCACTGACTGCTCTTCCAGAGAACCTGAGTTCAATTCCCAGCAACCACATGGTGGCTCACAACCATCCATAATGAGATCTGGTGCCCTCTTCTGATGTGTAGACATCCATGGAGGCAGGATGTTGTATTCATGATAAATAAATAAATCTTTAAAAAAAAAAGAGAGAGAGAGAGAGTAGGCTGGCAGGGAGAGTCTTGGTGCTCTATCCCTCCACGGGTATCCAAAGCCCTCCAGAAGAATCTAGGTCTTGGATGCGGCAATGGTCCTCAGCGGTGGGAGGGGGCAGAGCACATTCTAGACCCTGCACCTCCCAGAGGTGCCCGAGTAGCAGACACCTCGGTGTGCACCGTTGCTGTGGGGCACAGTCCCCAGTGCTGCCTGGAGCATTGAGTGAACATGATCCCGCAGTCTGGGTTGCCAGGCTCCTGTCTGAAGACGGTGGACACAGACTGTGGCCAGGGTGCACAACAGAGGAGAATCAGACCCTGAAAACCGTAGATGGCCAGAACAGAGAGCTGGTTCCAAGCCTGACCCCCACATGTACCCAAGAGGGTGGGCACTCTATCCTCACCGTCTTACAGTCTCAAATATTGGTGCTTGAGAGACCAGTAAAAGAGGAATGCTATGAGCTTAAGGCAAGCATAGACTACACAGCGACTTCTGGGCTAGCCTGGGCTACACTGAGACCTTGTCTCCAAAACAAAATAAAGATTTGGGCTGGTGAGATGGCTTAGTGGGTAAAACTGCCTACTGCTAAGGCTCAAGACCTACATTCGATCTCCAGGACCCACACATACATACATACATACATACATACATACATACATACATACATACGTGCATGGAAACACGCACACAGTGTGAGAGAGACTCCTTGTATATCCCTGACCTGGAACTCACAGAAACCCAGCTGCCTCTGCCTCCTGAGTGCCAGCAAAAATAATTTTAAAAGAAAGCAGGGCAAAGCTAGTGAATAGGACGGGGCAGTGTCTAGACCGAGAGGCCTGGCCCTCCTCCAGGGTAAAAGCCTCAGTCCCTGCAAGTAAGGGACAGCATCCGTGGAGGACTGTACGGCCACCATAGCCAGGTCTTTCAAGAGCTCGGGGTCAAACTGCTTTTTTTCCCAGACTCAAGGTCAAGGACCAGAACCAGGTAGAATGCCGGGAGCCCACCCTCATGGAGTTTCCTCTTAAAATAGCTGAGCTCTGCGATCACCAAGTCAGGAACACAGGAGTGGGCCTCACGGAAAAGCAGCCCCATCTTCAGGCCAGGTGGGAGGCAAGGAGGGAGGAGAGGGAAGGAAGGTGTGAAGAGGGCTGGGCCACAGGGCCTGACAGGCAGCGACAGCCCAGTCAGAAAGCCAGGCCCGTCTGCCCGCCGAAGGGGTCTGGGAAGGCACTGGGAAGGCAGGAGCGACTCAGGGGTCAGAAAGGGCAAGGACCTGTACCCAGAGCGAGAAGCTTCCAGAGGGAAGGAGAGGGCCTTCAGGAATGTCCTGGGAGCTGACAGCCTTGTGAGCAAGGAGTGAGTCTTAACTGAACCACAGACAAACCGAGGGCTGGGAGGACAGCCAGCAGGTAAAAGCCCTCGCTGACACTGATCACTGCCACCCCCATGGAGGGAGGAGAACTGACTCCTGCAACTGTCCTTTGCTTCACACAACTGCACTGAGGACACGCGCACACTCACACACACACACACCCTCACACACATACTCACACTCTCACACACACTCACTCACACTCACTCACACCACTAAATGAAACACAATTTTAAAAGGAAGCCCAAAGAAATGATGAGCACACATCAGCGTCACCGCCATCATCACGATCCCCTTTTCTCCTGCTACGAGTTTAAGGGTCTGATGAATGGGTCACGTGTCCTGTGCCCTTGGGTAAGAGTCATCAGGAGGGAGTGGCCTCTTGCTTTCTTGCCAGGGTCACTGTGGGCTGTGAGCTCGGGGCTGCCGGCACACGGGTACACTGAGGCCCACAGAAGGGACTGAACCAGGGCCACAAGGGCCCCGTGGTGCCAGGGTTTACAGGGTCCCAGGCAAGCCTACGGCGCAAGCCACGTGGCGTCTCACACGGCCTGGGGCTCAATACCTTCATAACAGGCATGTCTGGTTCTCTGGCCTGGGGTGGGGCATGCATGTGTTTTACCTGGGGAAGCTGAGGAGTCACCATGAGCTGCTTAGACTCTGAGTCCTTTTTTCCTACCCTCTGCCCAAGAGGAGGAGCCCATGGGAGCTTCTATATGTCTCTTCCCACAGCGCTCAGGTTGAAAGCAAACTGCGTTTCATCCCCTAGGTCCAAATCTGGCCATGGATCTCCACGGCCATGGGCTTAGAGATATTCTGGGACAGCAACTTAGCTCATATTCTCCAAATCCTAAACTGCCCAAAGTAGCAAGAAAATTAACCAATAAGTAAGTAAATAAATGACTAATATACATTAAGCTACCGATATTTAGTACATGTTAAGCACACACTATGACACAGGCACTTCTTTTCTTTAGGCAAGGTCTTACTGTAGCCCAGGCTGGCCCAGAGCTCACTGGCCGGAGCTGCCCTGCCTGGTGTAGGCGGTATTCTTTACCTTGCACTACAGGCAACCGAGCCTGAGCCTTGTGTCTGCTAGGGAACCACTCTGCCACCACTGAGCTAACCCAGAACCACAGGGCACCACACCCCAGGCTCTCGCTCTCCTCTTAGCTCTGAGTGCCCAGTAGGGGAAATACTTTGTAAAAAACCATTTTGGAGCTGGGCATTGGTGGCGCACGCCTTTAATCCCAGCACTCGGGAGGCAGAGGCAGGCGGATCTCTGTGAGTTCGAGACCAGCCTGGACTACCAAGTGAGTTCCAGGACAGCCTCCAAAGCCACAGAGAAACCCTGTCTCGAAAAAACAAAAAAAACTTTTTTTGGAATGTGTTAGTGTGGCATGCTCTTCTGCCTGTGTGAGCCTGTGTGCACCTTCACATGGGCTCTCAGGGCTGGATGCAAGCCCAGAGCAGTGGCTTTCCCCACAGGCCATCTTCTGTGGTTCCCTCGCCCAGAACCTGGAGGAGGTTATCTGCTCACAGTACCACAGCTGGTGAGCGAGAGGGGCCAGTACTCAGGGGCCAGCAAGCAACGTGCCTCTAGAATCTGCTCCCTCTGGTCACAGCCGGCATTGCAGGGGAAGAATGCAGACTTTGAGAGTCTCCATGGTCAGTGCAGTCCACAGGGAGGCAAAAGGAGCTAGGAGGTATGTATCCCCAGGTTCACAGCTCAATTTCTCTAGACAATACCTATGAGCTTCCAACACTTTCTCAGGCTCAGTTTCCCCAC